ATAGGCATATTTCTATAGTTCATTTTAAAATATTTAAAAATGTACCTTGATTTTGGTTTTATAATTACACATTTATTTTGAAAAAGCTGAGATTCTTTGCTATTTTTTGACCTTTATAAAAACTAAACTATAATATATACATATACATACATATATGTATGGTACTTAAGATAAGGGATTCAAGTCAGAATGTCTGGGTTCAAATCCAGGTTCTACCACTTCATGGATGTTGTGGCATTGGCAAGCCCTTTATCTCAGCTATCTAATCTGAGACTAAAGTAACTGTTTTGTTCTTAATTATCATTTAAATTTTTCTGATTATTTTTAAGTGAAAGCAATTTTCACCATGCATGGTAAATGTCAAGCAAAGAGATTTGTTGGTTAATGGTGGTTCTAACCATCCTAATTCTGCAACCCTTTTAAAATACAGCTCCTCATGTTGTGGTGACCCTCAACCATAAAGTTATTTTCATTACTACTTCATAATTATAATTTTGCTGCTGTTATGAATTATAATTTAAATATCTGCGTTTCCTGATGGTCTTTGGTGACCCCTGTGAGAAAGTGTTTCAGCCCCCAAAGGGATCGAGACTCAGAGGTTGGACATTACTGGGTTAAGAGTCTGGATTCTTGATTCTCAGTGGCTGACCAAACTCAAATCCTGGTCTGTTACTGACTGATAATATTAAGAATCAAAAACTTAAGATTGTTTGGGGTCTCAATAACGATACCTGTAAAATGTGTTTATTGGGCATTACAGGAGACTGTACTAGTGAAACAGTCTCTGCTAAGCATGTTGAGTAATTGCTGCCATTGTCCATCTTGTATCTTTGGCTTATTGTTTGGTACATTAAAATATTGAAAGTTTAAATTATGGGAAACAGTGCCTTTGTGAATTGTATTCATTGACTACAGTCAGTTAATTTATTTCTTCAAATATATAATATCAACATGTGTGAGTTGTTGACGATGTATTTTAAATAGAGATTTTAAAGGTTTTCCTTAGGAGATAACAGGCCTTTTAAAAAAACCTGTGTGTGTGTGTGTGTGTGTGTGTGTGTGTGTGTGTGTGTGTGTGTGTGCATACATGTGGATGGCCAGAGGTCAGATTATAGTGTCATTCATGCTCCAGGAGCTGTCTACCTTGTTCTTTGAGCAGGGTCTATCACTAACCCTGGGACTCCCTGAGTTGGCTAGGTGGAGCAACTAGCAAGGCCCAGGGATCCTCCCGTCTCTACCTCACTAACAGTGGGATTACAAGTTTGTACCACATATCCAGCCTTTTTGTGTAGGTATTGGGGATTGAACACAGGTCTTCATGGCTTGCGTAGCAGGCTTATTGACTGAACTCTCTTTCCAGCCCTACAGCAAGAATTTAAAATACTTTATTTAATTATTTTATGTTTATAGCAGTTTCACCTGTGTGCATGTCTGTGTACCATGTACATGATTTTATTCACTTTATCCATGGTTGTTTTCATGGAGGCCAGAAAAAGACATTGGATCCTCTTGAACTAGAATTACAAACCAGTGTGAGCCACCATGTGGGTACTGGGAACTGAACCTTGGCCCTCTGGAAGAACAGCCTCTGCTCTCAGCTGCTGAGCCATCTCTTCAGGTCCCAACAGACATCTTTAATAGGTTTACTTACCTTTGATGGATGATCCAGAAGCCTTGAAAAGCATCTATGCATACATTAATTAACCACATTCTAAGAAATGTGCAGAATGTCTACAAGCATATTCATAGTATAAGATTTTAGGGGAAAATTCCAATCTTATATTGAATGAAAAAATATTATCATTAGTGAGATCTAAGTATAATTTACTCTTTTATTGATTATGTGCAATGTTCATGTCTGTAGTCTGATTTCAGTGAATCTTCTATTGCAGTTTTATGCTTAGGTGAGTTTTAGCAAATGTTTATATACTATTATTGTTCATTTGAAATAATAAATATTTTGGCCTTGGTATAATGACAAAAATAGGAATCTAAAAATTTTTAATATTTACTATTAGGAAATGTTCCTTTTTTTCAACAACCACATTACTATTTAAAATTATGACTATTTTCTGTGTTGGAAAATGGGTATTTAATAAAGTAATGGATAAAATCGGGGTTGTATGAGTAGCATATTTGTTGCAGGCCTATTTTTCCTTTTCCTACCGGAGAAAAGAATTATTATTATTATTATTTTATTTTTCGAGACAGGGGTTCTCTGTGTAGCTTTGGAGGCTGTCCTGGCACTCGCTCTGGAGACCAGGCTGGCCTGGAACTCACAGAGATCCGCCTGCCTCTGCCTCCCGAGTGCTGGGATTAAAGGTGTGCACCACCAATGCCCGGCGAAAGTATTATTTTTTTAATTTGTCCAAAGATATAGCATGTATTTATCAATAACTTTGTAATGAATAGATTAGTCATTAAGAAAGTCTCATATCTGAGTTTGTTGGCTTCGTTTCACTGTGTGATTGAAGGTTTTAATATGGCATAAGAGGAACAAATGGGGAAAGCTTCAGATCTTTTACAACTGACTTCACCTTCACAAGAATAGCATGTCATATTCCCCTTTGAAGTATTCTAATGATATTTCTAATGTATCATGTCAGAAACATACCCGTGTTTTTTCCTTAAGTTTTTTTCTTCCACACACCTCTTTCCCCATGCTGTTAAACCAAATGCCTTTCCTCTCATGTTTTTCATTTTGGCTAATAGCACTACTGTCTACCTGACCATTCAGTTTGGAATTAGAATTATCCCAGCTCTTCCTCATCTTCTATATTCTGTTGATTGTGTCAGTACTTATTTTCTTCAAACAAACGTTAAAATTCACCCCTTTTCTCTGCCACCACTGCTACTGCTTCATTAAGAGCTCACCATCATCTTGCAACTATTCAGTTCCTAATCTTATTCCATTTTTCTTCATTTAAACCAGTGTAATTTTTCAAGACATGCCTGTTATAACCTTGTTGTTCTCCAAGTTGAAAATCTTTAGGGTGATATACAAGACTCTGACAGTTTGAAGCTTGCTTTCTTCTTTACTTTTGATTCTCATAGCACATTTTTGATCTTTCCAAAGCACATATTCTCTCACTTGTTCATCCACCCATTCACTCATTCATCCATTCACAAACACAGTTACTTTCAGCCACCTGTGCTGTTAGGTACACGAGGGCAGAGAGGTAACAGCAACCATGACTGTTACTCTTCAGTGGCTTTAGAATGTTATATCTGTGCCTGTACTAGTCCATCTGGCATTTTCCATTTATAGTCTTCCTTAGTCTTCTCACTCCAGTGCATCTTTTTGTTCTCTGACTCTCACAGGGTAGTTCTTCCATCCACCCCAGCAGTTTATATTCCTGTCTACAATAGAGCTCACTGATTTTCATTTTGCTTACTTGTTTAGACTTGAATTTCCCACGAGGTTGAATTTCACAGAACGGAAGGAGGAAGATAAAAGAGTAATATAGGAGTAAGTTGGGGGCAGGAGAAAGGGAAGGACTGGAGAGGAGCTGAGAAAACAGGAGAGACAGTGTGAGAACTGGTAGAAAGCATAGCTTCTAGCAGCTTTGGATTCTTGTTGGTTACGTGGTTCATGTCTCTACAGATCAGTTTATGATGGGGATGGTCCGTGGATCTTTGTGAAAACTGAGTTAGTCATAAGATAGATGCTGTATGCACTCGCTGCTGCCAGCCCCTCCATTTTCATTGTCCCTCCTTTACAAGGTCACATCTGACCCAGCTTTGGTTAGACTGTAATGTCATACTCTGTTCTACTTATGGTATGTCTGGCTTTCATGAATAATGAAAAGCTAACAGATAAAAGCACTAATCACTCACCTGTTAGTGACCTCATTTTAAACAAATGAGCTCTGTGTAAAGAATCTTGGGGGAAATCACATGGTAGATCCTACCTAGCAGTGGAGGGTAAGTAGGTCATACTTCACAGGGGATGTTTGAGATTTAAGATCAATCTACTCATACTTGTAAGACACTAGGCATGCAAAAACATGGTCCCTGTTTAACTCCAGATGACTGGTGCTGTTCTGGGCAATGGAGATGTCAGAGACAGTGAGATTGCTGGAGGTGGGAGTCCAACTCTCCCTGGGTGGTGATGTATATTCTGTTGATACTAAACTCTGTTTAGTATGGCAGCCCATCATAACAAAATCTCACGCTGCTAATCTTGTCTAAGCCCTGTTAGTACATAAGATGTGGCCACAGAGGCCATAGTTTCCAGAGAAGCACCTTTGACCCTTCAGTGATGGATCTTGGTATTGCTAAGTGGAGATCCTGTTCTTTTCTAGTCATAGACTGGGTTCTAACTGCCTCCATCATATGTGTACAGAAAAATGGGAGCTACATAAAGAACAGTGCTTGCTGTGTGGCAGATAGTTTAGGAATTCCATTGTATGTGTAGAATGATATGAGAGATGGGATGGTTATTCCAGGCAAGAGGGAAGGAGAAGCCAGACCCACAACTGTATGTTCATCAAGAGACAGCAGACTAGACCCAACTGCATTTGACTGAAGTGTGTGTTGGAAGGAGAGGCTGGAATGTAAATGCCAGATTAGGGAGTCAGGGTTTAATAAGGTCTAATAAAGCTTTGAGAGATTATAATAGTACATGCTCTCATGAATTTAATCATTGTATATGTAAAAATATTTTCTAATGCAGTGCTAAAATTTTTATAACATTCTTCATTTGTTAACTATGTTTTAGACTTTTTCTTTTAAAATTCTTTCAATACTTATTTAGAAACATTTTGAAAATTTTTGAATGAGTGCTGTTGAATAAATTGAAAAGTTATTTTTAAATTTTATAAGTTTCTTAAGACTATTTTCACTTATGACACTTTAAAAATTATTGGAATTAGCAATCTATCTAGAGTGTATTGGGAATTTCCTTCTTGTTCGAAGCTTAGAGAAAACAGATGCTGACAGCTGTGACTTTCTTTTCTCTAGTCTCTCCAGAGGCAGTTGGATTTTTGTCAGCAGTTGGGGTGTTTATTGTCTTGATGCTGCTCCTTTTTCTCTATATTAATAAGAAGTTCTGTTTTGAAAATGTTGGAGGGTTTCCAGATCTTGGTTCAGGATACAACACACGGAAGAATTCACAAGATAAAATGTGTAAGTATCACACCGCCACTTCTTTCTCTGTGCTATTCCTTGTTTAATGGGTTCTGTTGAGAAGGCTGCCTTTGGTACCTGCTAAACTTAGCATTGGAACCTTTACTTTGTAAGACTGAAATATCTGTTAAATAATTATGTTCAGGTCTCCTGTTGTCTCCAGATTGTTAAGCTACTACATAAAGGTGGTTGCCTATTGTTGCAAAGTAATGCTTTTACTTTTCATTTATAAGGCGTGGTTTTGAACTTACACTATGAGTAGATAGTGCTTTAAGGAAAAAAAAAAAAAAAGCCATGTCCATTGTGCACATGGCTCTCAGGAGAGCTCTCCTAGGCTGCCCATCAGGCTTTTAATGCCTGATCCTTTGTCTTACCTTCTTTCATTCTCGGCTGAAGAATGATGTTCCTGGAGGAGGTATTTTTCCATATTGTGCTCTGTCCCCTTACCACACAGGGATTGTAAGCTAGTGTTCCTAGCTCCTAGGAAACTTGAGGACTGTAATACCGTATTTCCCATTTTAGAGAAGCTTTCAAAAACATTACAAGAGCTTTTCATTTGTTGTTTCAAATATTGGCTAATGTTAGTGGTAGTGGAGGAAGTTGAGAAAGATTAAACTGCGTGTTAATTTTGAGAGTTTTGAGAATGAGGGCAGAGGAGCTAGGCTTTCCTATACAGATTCTGGAGAATGCTTTCTCTTCTGATAACCTAAATGGTGGCAAACCCTCACTTATAAAGATCTGTTAATGCTAAATTGTATTTTGATGTCTGTGTTAGAAACTGTGGTGTCTTATATGATTCTGACTTGGTTTGTGTTTCTCATAGTCCACTCCAGTCCTGTATGTGTTGCTCATTTTTATGTGAATGAACTATTTAAAAAACTGTCTCTGCCTCTGTGTGTGTGTGTGTGTGTTTCTGTCTCTCGATCTCTGTCTGCCTCTCATCTGCCTGTCTCTCTCCCCTGCTCTCCTTCCCTCCTTCCCTCCTTCCCTCCTTCCCTTCCTCCTTCCCCCCCTCCTTCCCTCCTTCCCTCCTTCCCTCCTTCCCTCCTTCCCTTCCTCCTTCCCTCCTTCCCTTCCTCCTTCCCTCCCCACCAAGCCCCCAGCAGCTTTCTGAAATTCTCTGGTTCAGCTTCCCTGGACTTTCTTTGATGTCTTCAAATTCAAAAGATCTTTTGTTGGTTCTAAGTTACATCTATCAGTATGTACCATATTAGATAGTAAACTGAGAAAATTAAATTATCTGTTACCAACTTACTTTTCTTTTTGTTTTGAGAAAAGGATTTTGCTGGGGATTGAACCCAGGCCTTTACATGTTATGTATGCATGTACTCTGTTGGTGAGCTATATTTTCAACCTCTATGAATTAAAAAAAAGTACCAGCAGTAATGTTATTATTTGTGAATATAAGTAACATCTTAAAGTTTCTTAAAAGACTTTCAGACCAAAAGAAAAAGTTGCCGAGAATAGTGGCATTGCCATATACATTTCATATGGGTTCATTAGGACTGGTACGACAGTCATCAACTTGTTTCTAGTGTCTGCTTCTCCATTAGGTCTGCTCTCACCTGTGGGAAGCCCCAGTTTGCACTTGCAAGCAAAGGGGAGTGAAAATGTTAAACAACCCCTTAATGTTACTGTTCAAGTAGTATGACTTGGGATCTCAGAGATATCCTATTATTTTCCTTTCACTTGCTGGAGTAAAAGAGCATTCCCCTTATAAAGCCAGCATACATCAAGCAAGATTAAATGTGCCCATCACAGTGTCTTAGAAATGCCATCAGCAGAGGCTCTCCCTTGTTCTCCCTGTATTTACCACCTTGCAAAACTGCCTAGATACTTTCCTCTAAATACAGTTCTTAATTTGAAATATTGATAGTCTGTTAATAGGGTTATTCCTTTATGCTGACTCTTAGTAAATAAACTAAAGTACATAATAAAAATCCTTTTTATACTTCTTCTTTCAGGTATAGTCTAAATACCCAGTAGTATTTGAGGGAAAAATAATGTCTTCCTGCTGTTTTGATAGCTTTGGAGTGGGAAAAGATGTCATTACACTTAAACCAAGTGATTTGATTTTTATTTTTTTCCGGAGGAGTCTTTACTTCAACGTATTTCTTCCAATGCATACTGCATTTACAGAAAGATTCTTCCAATGCATACTGCATTTACAGAAAGATTAAAAGACACAGTGTGAAATACTTCTATCATGCTATGATGGCAACATTTACATAAATGTTAAATTCACACTCCAAAGTAGTTGATATTTGGAGAAGAGAAAATTCCATTATTGCACCTTTTAGGAACAAGGAACTGAAAAAATGGCATTTTTCAAAAGTCTTCAGCAGAATCTACCTTCAGTGTCCTCCCTGGTAGACACAATCAGTAGTGCTGTAGAAGATTTGAGCACTGCGGTTGGGGAAGTCAGTTATGCGCTAACTGACTCAGTCGTTGGGCAGGTAGCAAGTATGATGCATGGCTTTTGCCCAGAGGAGGAGAGCTGCATGGCAGAAGAGGCTGCAGGGTCTTCCAAAGCCAAAAGTGCAGTTTTGGGGGACACGTCCAAAAACACTGCTTGTCCAAAAACACAGTCTGATAGAGAGCACAAAGCAAAGCAAATGACCTATTGTGACACTTCAGCTCCACAAAAGCAAGAACAGGAAACACACGAACAGGGATTTTATATTCACGACAGACAGTGGACACTCCCAGAATTCAAAGGAACTGGGGGTGCTGGTGGTTCTGCTTTTCAAGGCTTCATGAATGATGGGATATCAGCTGTCAAGCAGAAGACGGGGGCTGCACCCACTTGTTATGAACTGGAAGGTCCTGACAGATGTGAGACAGCTGGAGCAGGAGGCTCCAGGAATGATCAGAGTGGTTTAGAGGAGGTAAGTTCTCTAGGAGTGGACGGGGATTTGGACACCCATAGACAAGGCGTTGTGTTTGAGCAGAAGTGCGTGGCTAAAGTCAGACTGCAGCGTGTACCTGTGGGAGCAGAGCAAGAGACATCGGGGAGCTTTACTAAAAACAAACATCTTACTGATGTGGAGCAGTCTCATCATTTAACAAAGACTAAAAAACATAATACACAGGATGGATTCAAAGAGAATGAATGTTCAGGAAACAAAAGTTCTCCAGAAGATCACAGGAGAAACAGCAGACACAGGGCCCAGAAATCCATTGTGAAGGAACACACACGTTCAGCTTCATCAACAAATTGTAGTATTAAGTTTCCTGGGAAGATCAAAGAAAAAATAAATTCAACAAAGTACTGCAAAGTGAAAGGAGACATAAAAACAAAGAAAGATGAAGCTAATTCTGCTAAGAGAGGAACAGCAAAGAGTAAAGTTGGCAAATATTCTAAGATATTACCAGAAAAAGGTGAGGTCTCCTAATGTTGGCTTGAGTGATTAAATTTTCTCTTGATGTTTTAAAACTAGAAAAACATTTAAAATTCTCAACTTTCCTTTCCATGTCTTATCTAATTTAGTTTTTCATTTGATCTTCTTACTTGGAGATATTTTGAGAGACATTTAGAGTTTTTCAGTCATTTTTATATAATAAATGTTATTTTATACCACCAGGTATTGCCTGTGATCTGAGCAATTTCCGGCAGTCCTGATGTTTCTTTTTCTTTTTTGTGTTCTTATGAGCAGTTTCACTGTGCAGCTCCAGTTGGCCTGAAACTCACTATGTAACCCAGGCTGGCCTCGAGCCTGAGATACTCCTGTCTAAGCCTCCATTTACTGAGACTGGTGTGAACCACCACACCCATGTCCTGATTTTAATTGCAACTTATTTTAATTCTAGAAATTTTCTACAGACTTTAAATAGAACTTATTTGGTGTGATACTCATATACTTAAAAGTTTGTTTTATAACTAAGTCTTGAGTTGGTTACATAACATTGCTCTTTAAATCTACCCCAATGACGTTCTATGTAAAATATTTTATGTTTCTTGAAACCAATAGCTCCTATGTTGTTAAATAACATGCTTCTGGGTATGTATTTATTCATTTTGCTTTACCTTATAACTTTCATGAGACTGCTCTAGTTCATAATGACTGTACATGAGCAATACATTTTTATTCATGAGTTCTTTATGTAGAATAAGATTCTGAGTATTTACAGTGTTCAGCTACAATATTTATGATAGTTTTCAAAGCATCTTTGCAGTGCATACTTTTGGTATTCTCTCCTAATACTCCTCCATCGCTTCTTTATTGCTGATTGGATGAGAATACCCTCCAAAAACTGGCTTTTGTTTTTTATAAAAGATACATACACCTGTAGTTTTTCTATAAACTTAGATTCTGACAAGATATCAAAACCCGAGTAGTCATGAAAATAATGGGAGACTTTGCAGTTCTGCCATGTGATTCATCTGTAAGAGGGGTCTGCTGTATATTGAAAGTCTTTAATGGCACAGGAGAAGCCAATCCTAGACTGATGGGCTAATTAAAAACAAATGGAATTTGTGAAGATATACTACTCATTGTAGAGTCCATTCTCATAGTAGCTGTGATTCATTGGGCTTTGGTGGCCTTGTTTAGTTCTGGCAACCTCATTACTTATGAAGAAATAAAGTAACAGATTATTTAGAAAATGACAATAGGATGGCTATCAGGAATAAATAAATAAATTTTGTAGCACTACAAAATTTTCTGTTTGTTATGCTTTGTTTTTATTGAGGAGCACTCTGGCATCTCAAGAAAACAGAGGCTCTCAAATATCCCAAAGGAGAGTCAAATATTGGCCTTACTAGCCCCATGAACAAATTATAGGTGTTTTGGCCGGTATGTTAACCTTCCATTTAGTTGAGTTGCCATATTCCTAGAACCAGTGTAGTAGACTCTCACATGAAAGATTCGGGCATAAGAAAAAAAGAAGAGTTTCTCTGGTTTTGTATATAAGGCATTCTGGAATAGAGGAAGTTTGACAGCAAAAGGACCACATGAGGGTACATCCACGAGGGACTCACAGCATTCTTCTGCCTTTAGGCCTCAATCTGGTGTTTCACAAGATATTCACACTCTTTTCAGCTGGGTGTCAGAAGGGCTTGGTCTAGTTATCACATCACTGTCTAGCCAGTGATGATGACAATGGTGAAGTTGGGATGTCTGCATTGATCGAGATTAACCACTGGCTACATACGCTCTACACACTGTAAGTGTGGCTAGCCAATTGGAAAGGTTTGGAGATATCTATTCAGACATCATAAGTAGTGAACTCTTAACTGCTATACTGTTTCTTAGATAATTTAAATGTTATACCTCTTAAAATTTAGGTATGATTAAGTAAAATTTTCTAGTCATTTAACTTTTCATTGGTAGTGTTATGCTTGTTGTATATCCATGTATATACTGCATGTTGAAGTAAGTATAATATCTATTAAATAAAAGTATAATTGAACCTTCTATTCTTTCCTTGTGAAACATAAGTTCGCCCACTCATGTTGAGGGCTGCATAATCCTCGTATGTATGTTGAATGGATGTGCCATCACTTGCCTAACCAAGGCTCACTGATAGGCATGTTGGTTATATATTTTGGGATTGTTCATATATCTGTGTTCACTTAATTAGAAATGGACTTGGCAAGTTCCTAGAAATGGAATGTTCAAAGAGCACACTGAGTTTGATGTTGAATTTGTTTGTGAGTTTGTTCTGTAGAAAACTTATTCCACTTGCTCTCCCTGTGTGTCTGTGTCTGCCCGTTTCCCTGCTCCCTGTTAGCATGAAGCATTGCTAGTTCTGAAAATATAGGCCAAATAAAAACCAGAAATTTGTCTTATAGCATTGTTTTACTCTAGTCCATAAGCACTGACAATGCTTATAATTTAATTTGTATATAACAGATCCTTTACAAAATTGTGCAGTGTGGCAACTATAATTTCCTTTGTACCTAAAAAGGTTACAAACCTCTGTGACTTAGATTATTTATATAATTAGAATATATAATGTAATATTTCCTATAAACACATAAAAATCTAACAATTTGGTATCCTTACATTAAAAATGTTTTCTAAAGCTGAAATTTCGTGTCATTACATACAAACATACAAATTAATGTTACAATATACTTTAAATTCGGTTTAAGGGATTATCAAGAATTTCAGTAATTTTAAGGATTGTTCTAATTAGTTTCACCCAGTGTATGTGCTCACACAAACACACACATTTTCATTTGTGCTTGTGTTTGTGTGTATATATGCATGTGTGTTTTAAATAAATTTGCCATCTGTAAGTATATTGAAATTATAACTTCACTGTTATCCAAATAGATAATTCCTACATGGACAGAGATGACCCTGGTTCATCCTCTGAAAGTGAAGATGAAGCTCTGGGTAAATACCACGAGGCCTTATCTAGAACACACACTTCCAGGTGGCCACTGGTGGATTCTAGACAAAAGAACTACGCCTGGGAAACAAGGCAAAAATACAGCCCTTTGTCCGCAGAATATGATGGGTACAGCAGCGAAGCATCCATAGAGGACGGTAAGAGAGTTAATTTTTTCAAAAAAATGAAACTATTAGATGATTTGTGTCTAAAATTGTAGGTATCTGTGGTTGCACACTGAGAGTGATACAGTGTAGGATTCTGTTTCTGAGCATAATCCAAACAGAAAATTTGGGCTGACCATGAAAACCAGCTTCAAAACACACAAAAGCAAAGTGCCCAATGATCGCTTGGATGTGGTAGTGGAGTTCTTACTCACAGTGCAGAATGCTGACATGAATGAGGATAGGGTGAGAATGTAATGTTCCTCAGGTGCAGGCTGTTTTCACGCACCTGTTATAGAAACCAGGAGGGTCTGAGTGTGAGTCTATTGCTGTGAGTCTGAGCTGCTCTCCAACATCAACTAGGTGCCTCAGAGAGCACATGGAGAGTGATGTGGTGGTCTCTCTGTGCAGAGTACTTTCTGAGGATGGGTACAGTATTATATCGTGTTTTAAAAGCAATTCAAGGGATTTTTCAGGCGTTTCAGTAATTTCTAGTACTTTGTTACTAATTAGTTTTGTCTTATTTGCTGATGTGAACTTTAGAACAAAATCTGGGCAGAAGATATAAGTCCACTCATATCTTTCCATAACATAAAGACATTAGTTTTGACATTAGATAAAACATTTATTTTTATGTTTAAACATATTGTTTATTTGCTGGATAGGATGGCTTCTCATAGTAACTACTGTCTTTATAACCTGAAGAGAACAGTGTTATAGGCATCAGTTTTATTATCGACAAACACCCAACTATATGTGGTTTTGTAGTTGGAATTGGTCTTTTAGCGCCTTTCCTATTCATGGTTTAAGTATTATCCCAAATTGTAAGTAGCCAAAGGAACAAAATAATATATATTTATGTTTGGCTTCTTGCTAACTAAAGATCTGTGTGTCAGTTTTTATTTCTGTTAGTATACAGGTGTAACAATGAATGCATGTTTGTTTGTTTGTTTGCTTGTTTACCAGATAGAAGGCTCATTATAGGTATAAAGAAAGAAATATTAGACGTGGACTCCACTTGAAAACAATGTCTTTTAGTAGTACACGCATACTATGTGACTACAGAGGTAACTAAATAATTCAAACCGGTAAAGCCAGCCTGCAATTTATATGTACCTCTGGCACCCAAACAATACAACAGAAGAAGAATGGCCATGAATGTGATCTTGGCTGACATTCTCCTCAAATCTTGTCATCTGTTAGCCATAAAAACCTGAGGAGTATATTTCATTGTGTCTAATGTGTTGGATAGTATCAACCTGGTTGAGTTGTCATGAATATCAACTGATAGATGGTGCATGGCCAGTTATCATTGCTGAAAATGAGAGGTAATGAAAATCACAATGGTGATGGACATGAATAGCATTGAGCAAGCCTAAGTTTGAGTCTGTGACCCTGGATGCTTCCATTCTTCAGATGGAATTTAGGATCTTTTTCTTTATTTTCTTTTTCCCTCATATGCTTGATTGCCCTTATGGTCCTTTTATTCTAGAATGCCCAGTAGCCTCCTCCTAATGAGGAGCAAGGCCTAATTTCAGTGGGTCTTGTATTGCCATCACTTTAACAACTGATATAATTTTGGAGACAGAGTGGTGATAGGGCAGACTTTGTAGTTATATACAAGCTGTAAGGTACAAATGGAGGAAATGTTTCAGGAACAAAGAAGGCTCTTTGTCTCAAACACTGGAGTATGTGTCATATATAAGTGAATAGGGGCCGCCAATGGGAAGGGAGATGAGGACTGAACCTGCCCAGTTTGATAGCCAGAGAGAACTCGCTAAAGGTCTTGCCTTCAGAAAGCATGTGTAGAAAGATTAACAGCAGGAAGTCTGTAGAAAAATCAGTGAAGAGAGACTTAAGAGCTATCTGCAGGAAATGGGGAAAACCCCAATCACTGTAGTGGCAATAGGAATTGGGAGGACAGGAGTAAAAAAGTGCGATTTTTTTTTTTGGATTTAGGACCACAGTATATTTTGAACATCAGGAAAAGAGAAGGAAGCAAAGCATCAAAACCTACTATGGTTTTTATCATGTATGAGAGAGAATAGTGGGGTCATTGCTGTGAATGTGGAATCCAGGGAGGGATCTGCTTTTTGTTGGGAGTAAGGAATAGGGATAGTGATTTCTGGTGTTTATACCTATAAGGCCTCCCCCTCCCTGGGGAGCAAAAAAGGGATGGAATAGGGGGTTAATAGGGGACAGGGGAGGTGGGGAGGGAGCGGGAACTGGGATTGACATGTAAAAAAACTTGTTTCTAATTTAAATAAAAATAGAAAAAAATAAGGCAAGATGTTAGTGCAACTGAAAATGGTTCTTGAACTTGCAGTTGTGAGTAGACTTAGGTCAAGTAGTTTTCAGAATACATACACTTAGAAATCATGAGAGTGAATTAAACTGATAGAGACTGTATGGAGAGAAAAATCTCACATAAAGAGGAAGAGAAAAGATAGTAGAAGAGACTAGAAGATCCAGAGAAATTACATAGTCATCCATGGTAAAAAGAATTTTAAGGAGAGGGGAGCAATCAGTTTGGTGAGAGTTCACACAAACCCCCTTTTCTAATGGAAGTTGTATTTTCAGTTGAAATACTATTAGGCTAGAGTAGTAAATCAGAACATGTCTTGGTAAGGGTAGGGTGCATGGTAGACAGTATGCATCACAGTCTGCCTGCCATTACAACTCACTGGCTTGAAAGAGAAGAAGTTGGGAGGTTTGTAGTCTACTGTGGACCTTCTCCCTCCAGCCCTTATTTGTCTGTAGTTCTCCTTTGTTGTATGTATTGGGAAGGAGGAATTGGTTCTGAAACACACTACTCTCAATACTCAAGGCATTACTCAGGGTATGGTTGGTCACATGGGACAGCATGCATGCTTGCTACTGCTCAGTGCTCTTTCTCTACATATACAGTCCAAGATCCCTGCCAGGGACAGGTCCTACCCACCTTGGGCTAGTCTTTCTGCCTCAATTAGTCTGGTCATGATCATCTCCCACAGGCATGGCCAGAGGCATGTCTTTCTGGAGATGTTAGATCTGTCAAGCAGACAGCACTAATCACCACAGAGCCTACGCTGCTTCTAGTGCTCTCAAGTACTCCACTGCCACCCGTGTCCATAAAGCAAGGCAGGGAGCTGCAACCTTAGCTTACCCATCCTTCTCATGAGTTTAAATGAAAATAAACTTAGTTGTTTAAAACTATAATCTAAATTTAATCTTTAAAAAAAATCCTAGTTCTCAGTATGACACACAGCTTGGATTTGTAATTTTATGTTCACTTGGTTGTTGGCAAAATGTCATATAATCTGTCATTATTTGTAAGTTTTGCTATTTGGATCTCATTCTATTTTGTCTCTTTAACTACTTAGAATTTGTTTTCTCAGACTACTGTTGCCTTGTTTCTTCATTTTCAATAGTATAATGATCTGTACAACAGTAGCTTTATAGTTTTGGCAAAGTATAGCAGAAAATATGAACCTGTCACTTAGAAGGAAAAAATGAGATACACTTCATCTGTGTTCAGTTCTCACCCTGGCATTTTAGTGGCAGCTCCTCAAGCTGTAGCTTGAGGACACTGGTTTGAATGATACAGGGCTATGTGTGTGCTGCATTAGTCCATGGGTGGGAAATGTGAGTGTGCTCTGAATGTTAGGTGTCTGGCAGTTCATGAATGGTAGGTTAAAGACAGAACCAATAACCAACTGCGTATAAGGAGATTTAATGTTTACAGTGTGGAACTGTTGGGGGTGAGCTCTGCAGATGGTTGGCTGCCAGTGTAATAAGCTGTTTGGGACTCCATAAAACAAAAAGATGCTTTTGGGTCAGTGCTATTTTTTCTTATTTTATGAACTCCTGGGAGAAAAACTGAAACATAATAGTGTGCAAGTAGATAGGATTGCCTTTCACAGGATGTCAGTGATTGCTCGGGCATTTTCTAACCCATTTTAAAATAATTTTTATTCTAAAATTGCAATGTTACAAATTAAATTTGACATTCTGGTCTCATAAAATTCTGTACCTTTCAATCTCATTTTGAACAATTCTATGTACAGTTCTTATCTTTGACATATTTTATATAATTCTAGCTATACATTGTCTTTAAAGCTGTAATAGTTGTTTAATTATGAAATAATATCTAGTTTTAGAGTTTGGTACTAGATCTTATACGTTTTATAGTTTTTGTGCTGATAAGTAGTATATGTATGTTTATTTGTGATCTAGTAAATTTGATCCATTTTCTTTTGAATTGATAGTAATTTTATTGATTCACAAGAGATCATGGATACTAAAAATATCAGTTTTTGTTATATGTAATAGATATTTATTTTGATTTTTAAGGAGTCCCATCATCTATCGGAAACTGGCCTAGAAATTATGTGTATATCTAGGCTAGCTTGGCCTGAAACTTACACACCTCCTCCCTAAACTCCCAAGTACTAGGCTCCCAAGTACTGGTGGTACAGACTGTACCACCACAGCTGACTTTGGTATTTTCATGATTTCAACTTTTTAAAGCTTTATTTAGTCATTTTAAAATTTTCAATTTTCTTCCTTTGTTTGCCACATACCTGGTTTTCTTTTTATTATACCTTTATTTTTATTTCATTGATTTAAAAATATTTTATTAATTCTTTGAGAATTTTAGACAATGTATTTTGAACAGATTAACCCCCAGCTTTCAGCCCTTAACTCTTCCCAGACCCTCTATTGCCTCCAGCTTCATGTTTTCATCTTTATTTTAATAGCCCACTGAGCCCATGGATTCCAGTTTGTCCATGTGCTTCTGGAGGGGGAGCATCCTCTTGAGTGGGGTCAGCCTACCAAAAGTTAGGAAGCTGATTCCCCCTCTCCTTCCACTAGAAGCCACAACCATCTATAGCTCCTCAGTTGGTGAGTGGGGCCACGAGCGCCTTCCCACCAGTGCTAAAATGTTGACTGGCTTGAACTTGTTTTGGTCTTGTGCAAGTAACCACCGCTGCTGTGAACTCATGAATGTAGCC